ACGGTAAGACACTGAAAATCAAGTAGGAAATGACCAAATGAGAGCAGTTATTTCATGAGTCCAAAAGAAAGAAAAAAGTAGAGAACATCACAGATCCTGGGGAGAACCCTCAGTGACTTCCCAAGTTATCCTACTGTGTGACTGCATTTTGAGGACGATGTTATTTAAGAATTCAATCCTGTCCATTTTTATTATTTGAGACTTATATTTGCATAATACTAGATTATACAAATAGCCTACAGAGATAGGAAGATTTATGTCGTACTGAACGATGATCATAGAACTTAAGGTGAGTTTAGACATATATTGCACAACACAATTGCATAGGTTCTTAAAGAGAATGTGAAGATTTGCGTCGCACTGGGCGAGCTACCTCGGAGTCCTACGAATTATTGTTTAAAACTAAAGCATAACTTAGCTGGTGTAGATCTATTTCGCGTTTCGTCTTGCTTGCAGTTCGAGTGTATCGTCGTCGTGCTGCCCACGAAGCTTGCTCCAAACTCCTCGTCGTGACGGGTTTGAGTTCTTGGTTTGGGGTTTGGGGTTTTACATGTGAGCACGCAATATTGTTGGGTCGGTGGGGTGCCGCGCTGTGCCTCCTAAACCAGGCTATTGTTTTCTACTTTAGAGGTCTTGCAAGTTCTGTAAATAAATGCATAAGTAAAAACGCAGCAAAAACACAATAAAATGGAAAAAGGTGCAGTAAAGAAAATAAGCATGTACGCACCAGAGGTTCCTACCACTGCTGCAAAAAGGTTAGTATTGCATGTGAAAGTAAGAAGGTATAGTTGAAGATTTAATAAGCACGTCAAACATGAGCATAGATATGTAAAAGAGCAGGTGACACATAAAAGCTCAAAGAGGACCATAAGAATTCAGGTCAGGGTGGGCTCAAAATTTATCCTTCCCGAATGACTTCGTAGGCTACCATCGGTCATCCATGTATATAAAACCCATATTCAATTAGAAATTTCCAATAAGACAATCAAATGAGAACAATTCTTAGCCCAGTTCAGATAACTGACAAGTGGACATTTAAATTGTATCATTCAAAATTTGTGGTTTGTCATGCATATAAATAGATTTTTGTTCAATAATCGAAAGTATTTCTTTCATAAGAAAATTTATTTTGTTTTGTTGTTATCTTTGTATTGTCATTATATTTGTATATTTTGTAAATCTGACTGTCCACAATCACACTGTTGAGCTAGAACTACTGGTAGTCTATGAAAGCCAAGGGTCATCGCTAGTCTAGTGTCGGTGAATAATATTGTCATCCCGCACTCACCAGGTCCTCAGGTCAAGTTCCATACCTTCACCAGGCTCTAAGGTCAAGGGATGCAATATTATTCTGCTCTATCACCGGATATCTTTGCATCACGGCTCTTAAACCCCGAACCGTCCAACTTACAACCCACTCTATGATCCACATATCTCTATAAGCACTTATATCTTGTATAAGCAGGTGGGACTACACCACCGAGCAAGAAAAAAACAAAACAAAACAACGATAAAGACAAAAAATCATAAGAGCAAATGGGCAAAACCGTAAGTGAGTCAGCCCAAAAATGTTTAAATCTTCTCAAAAAGAAACATCATTTATATCGGCTTGAAATTGCGAGGAAAAAATGGGCCAAAGCATCGCCAAAACGGTACCCAAATCATTTTCAAAACAGTGCTCAAAACAGCCTTAAAATGATGATTTTAATGTCTCTAAAATAGTGCTCAAAACTAGCCCAAATCAGCCAACAAAAGTGCCCTGAAGCAGTGTGTAACACTCCTCAAATCAAAAAGCAAAAGTGCCCCGAAACAATGCATAAACCAACCCAAATCAGCCAACAAAATGCCCCAAAACAGTGTATAGATCGCTTCAAATCAGACCACCAAAATGCCCCAAAACAATGGTTATATTAGCTCAAAACAGCGAGAAAGCTATCCCCACGACAATGTATAACTTTCCAATTGTAGACAAGCTCGACGATCCACATAAATACTCAACCATAGAAAGAGAAGAATAAGAGTCATGTTCAATTTATAATTTAAGCCGGCCACAAAGCTTGCCATAAGATAAACTCCTTAAGTATGCAAATAAATATGTGTAGAAGTAGAGAATCATGTGCGTAAATACTTTTCGAAATTTGTATGTGATTTAAGAACATGTAAATTCCCTCACCATTTAAAATTCTTCGCTTCAAGCATAACGAAGGAATTAATAAACAACTGATCTTGCAACAATTAAGAAGATTTTTTGAAAAGATTTACCTACGTGTCACCCGACTCTCATGCATTTGCATGTCCAACATCCAAAAATATCAAATTTATAGCACACAAACCCCACTCCAAAACGGTAAATATATCGGCTCAAAATAGTGTGTTTGTCCACCAAAAGAGCTTAATCCCCATAAATTTCAGATTCACACAAAATCAAACCGAATAGATTTCGAATTCGCATAAAACTGACTTGTATGAACCTCAAATTCACATAAAGTCAAGCCAAATGAACCCCCAACTCGCATAAAACCAACTCACACAATTTCAGATTTTGCATAAATCCAAATCCAATAAATTTATTAACTTGCATAAAACCAACTTGCACAATTTCAGATTTTGCATAAAGCCAAACCGAATAAATTTCCAACTTGCATAAAACCAACTTACACAATTTCAGATTTTTGCATAAAGCCCAAACCAAATGAATTTCCTAACCAACATATGGCTTGCAACAAAAGCAATCCAGCTTAACGAGCTGCTAAAAGTCCCACCAAAATACATCTTGTAACTTTTGGAAAAAGTTTTAATATGAAGTTGAGCAGGTTTTTGGTGAGTTTGGGAGGTGTTTAGGCCCTCCAAACAGCATTAAAACAGCCTAAAAATCGCATTTTGAACTATTCCAGGCAGCACTCAAATCAATCTCAAAAAGGCAAGTCTAAAAGAGCCAAAAACAGTGAGGGCGTTAACAAGTTTCGAGGCTTTCCAGGAGCTGTCTAACTGCACGATTCCAACAACTTTGTGAAGGGCTTCAAGAGGTGATTCATGGCTGATTTGACCTGTGTACTGGGTGGTATTGAAGGGGGTTATTTAGCAGCCGAATTTCTGCAGTTTTTAACAAACTTTTGAGCTCTTCAATAGCAGGATTTGAAAAGGACTTGTAGAGATTTGGAACTATTTTGTAACAAGATTTACGAAGGCAAGTTCATTCAATTCAGCTCAACTAGATAGATTCACATACAAACCACTTAAGTCTTATGTATTTACAAATACAACATCTAAAAATTACTTTATACATTTACACAACCATTTTCATCCGTATCACATAAAAAAGTCCACCAATTTAATTTTTAAACAGTGAATTTTACCAGTTCATGCATAGATAGTGTGGCATGTGTGTAAAAAAAAATTGTGAAGTTTAGGTATTAGGTATGTGAAAATATAAAAATTGTGTGGTATGTATGTGAATCCTTTACCCCTTTGTTTTGACCTAAATCCAGATTAAGCAAATCATTGTAAGACATAAAGGATTCACAGGATAAGTGCAACAAAAGAAAGGAAAATAAAGCATGAGAGAGGAAAAAAGGTCACCACCTCGTTGAAGATTTCGGACAGGAGCAGAGGGAAAGGAGGTGAGAGATTTGTTGCTCCCTGCAAGACGCAATCCCGTTGTTACCTTGTCAATGGCCCGAGCTCCAGCAAGGGTTTTAGCAAAGAGGAGGAAGTGGGGGCGTTCGGTCTTCGGTCGAGAGAGGGAGATGAGTCGGATCAGTCGATCGGCTGAGAGAGAGGATTCGGCGTGGGGAGGAGAAGGAGGTGAGCGGCTGGGAGTCGAGTGAGAGAAGTGAGGAAGTTCAATCTCAGGGAAGAGGGAGTTGGGCAAGAAAGTTGTGTTGCAGGCGATGCAGGTGAGTGTTTTTGGGAAAGTACGAGAGGGAGTCCGATCAAGCGAGTGCGGGAGAACTGAATTTCGGTGGAGAGGGAGCCGAATGGGAGAAGAGAGGGGGCCGAATCCCAAGAGTTCGACTACCTGTGCAATTTTGTATACCGGGAGAGAATGATAAATGACATTGGGCGGGAGGAAGATTTCCATTTGTGGAGGAACTTCATTTGGCAAATAATTGCTCCTAATTAAACTCCATTAAGGCAAGATTGGACGATTTATTTGAAATTTGAAACTTGAAATTATGAATCGTGTTATTGGCCCAACCTGGTACAATTGGGTCGTGTTTAGCCCAAATTGAACCCGGGCTGAGCCTGAACTAGCCTCCTTTAATTAAATTTTTATGAGCATTGATTTTCATGTCGTTTGTTCACGCGTGAAGCCATGTCAATATGGGTTTCCTCCTTGGGTAAAATTAACGTCTCGGACGTGCTCACGCGGCCCGTTCCGTCATCCGGGGTCATCCATCGTTTGCACTGTTTGTCGATGATCGAGCTAATTTGAGTTTAACCTCGCGTGCGGTGCAGTGGATTTGTGTGAGTAGGTCATTCAAGGTCGAAAGCCTTTTAAATCCTATAAAAACTCATTCTTGGGCCCTCCACATGTTGGTTCTTAGTCCTTACAACTAAGAGTTAAGTGTTTGGAATCACATGTGAGGTTTTTCACAAAAATGAGTCAAAAAGTGTTTGAAGTCATACGTGAAGGGGGTTCTGTTACTAGTCCTCTATAATAGTCAATAGGAAAGTCCTAATGCTAGATCCTAGGCTCGAGGAGAAAGAAACCAAGACCTCACTAAAAATGAGGTCAACAATCATGTTGGCTAATGTATGTTTTTCCAGTAAATCCTTAACGGTAAGGCGTAAAGCCGAAAAAGAGTATACCAAAACAATAATGACATTCAGTCGGCATCCAAAAAAAAATAAAAATCAAGTGATTAGCATTTGTTCATTTTGTTCTTGTTGCATTTACTAAAAGGGAAAAAAACAATTTTTTGCAATACACACTCATTAGTTTTACATAATTGCAAGCAAATAAAAACAGAACCGTAGCAAAAATATAAAAAAAGTACCCGGAAAACGGACTTGAAGCCAATGCCTTTTTTTCCTATATATCCTCCACTTGATCCTTTCTTAGTTGAGTTTCCAACATCACAAAGTGCCCTGATATTCTCAGCACAGAAACCGAGTTCATTGTTTAAAACAACAATACCCTTCTCATGAAGAATAAATACTAATTCAGGTTCGACATTATCCGGGTATATGTTATCATCAGCATTTTGTACCTAGCACAAAAATCAGACAAACAGATAAATGGAAAAAAACGAGGCAAGGTATCTCATAATAAATAATGTTACTGCAGACAATTATTTAAACAATTTCAGTTGTTTCCAGCGTAAAATTCTATCCTAACAAGAGAGAAAAATATAATACAACCATTTTTGGGTTCAGATAATAAAAGCAAATAAATTAATGGAACTTCGAAAGCTGATATAATGTATGACTAAAAGATTTGTAGAGTGAATCAAAAAATAACAAGGCCAGTCATATATCAACATCAGAATCTAATCATTATTTGTGCTAAATTGTCATTCAAAGATATTAATAGTTTTCATATCATGAGCCTTAAAAAAAGTAGTGATGATCAGAAAAATCAAGCCCTGTATCATAACAAGCACAAGGCTAAATTATCTTGATAAGGAAAAACTGTATGAAGGTGAATCAAAAAGTTATTTCCTTAGTTTGCAGAATAGCATCTAGTTTCTGCCTGTCAACAATGAACAAAAAAGACATCAGAAAAAATCTATAAAAAATAGGGGCATCTACATCCATACCACCAAATTCGTATGAATTTGCATATCTAACACCTAAACTTTAATAGATTTCTACCACCCAAAACTTTATATTGCGTCAAACATACCATCATTTTAACCTAAAAAAAATGAAATATACTTTTTCCTGCATAGTTAAGGTGATATGCAAGTAAAATATGTATAGGTGTTAGAAATATAAATATAAAAGAATTGAGTGGTATGCATAAAAATCTTCCAAAAAAATATGACTGCAAACTAAAAGGCTTGTGCACATTTATGAAGAAACCATATTAGAACATTACAAGTTCAAGAATAAAATGAGAATCTTGTGAATACAATTCCTGTGAAAGACAATGCAAAGCTCTTCCAAGGCGAGCATGCTGCTTCTTTAGCAACCAGTCCTCGCTATTATTTAAATTGGAGCTCAGCCCAAATTCCTCCCGTCTAATCGATTCAACAATAGCAGCTGCATCATGAACTCGACCTTCAGAAATTTTAATTCTCGTCGCAGTTTCTTCACAAAGATCTCGACTTTCATCAATAACTCCAGATGAAAATTGATTATTGGCATCCACAACTAAAGTATCACCTATTTTTCCAAGAGTAACCATCTGATTTTCAGAAGCAGAAACCTCAGAAACTTTTATTAAATTGCTGTGATCAAGACCTGATGCCAAACAAAAAGGGCTTGACAACTGTTCTAAAGGTTTAAATGGCACAGAGCTAAGAACAGTTGAAGAGCTAAACTGATGGTAATCTGTCACCCACTCAGTAACACCAAGTGATATTCCAATGTCATGAAGCATGATTCGTTCCTCGATTTTGTTGCATTGACTCAATATGACAACAGGAGTTTGTTTTGTAACAGACCGAAGTCCCGAAAGGAAAATTTCTGCTGCGAAACCTCGGAATTCAGATGGAAGGTATTGAAGGCACTCTAATATTATCCTTGATATATTAGAAATTGCATCATTGACTTTGAATAATGTACCATGCTTACAGAGTTCATTATAATCCTTAATACCATCAGCTAGAACACTGCTACAACATGAGCGTGCATTAAGAACAATTTGCCCTGGAATAAAATTTTGCTCATCCGCATCTTTTCCTACTGAATCTACGGAATTTTGTATAATTACATCGACTGCTTTTTGAGCATAGCATTTTAGAAGAGCAAGAGGTGCATTGCATGTTCCCCCGTACCGACAAAGTAATGATAAAAGTTTTAATGCTGTACGCAATGATGAACACTGAACGAAAGCTTCCAGAAATTCATCAACAGTTGCAGTATGATCAATTCTAACAAATTTTCCATCAACTGTGGCAATACATAACAAGTTTTTATAGTTTACTTTACTTAATAAAAATTCTGTAAGTGGTCCGAGTGATGGAGCATATAGAAGATCCCAGTGAGACCAATATAACAGATCTGCCAGCATAGGTGCCTTCAACAAACATTCCACCGCCTCCTTTGAGGTTTTTCTAAAAGTATTTTGCTGAGCAACTTCAGACTCCATCTTTCCCATATACAGGGAAGAGTTTTCTTTGCATGCCAGTAAGTTCCGAGTCCGCTGGTCCCCAAGCAAACATGCAGAGAACAGAATACAGCTAGAATTGCCACTCTCTTTGCGTTGATTAATGAGGTTTTCCAGGCTTTTTTGAGGATTCACGCCAACCATACGGAAGCTAGCTGTAGGGAATTGCTTTTTGAGTAGTGAGAAAATATCAAAATCAGATGCATCAGCTTTAGCAACTGAATTTCCCTCAGCTTGTGATAGCATAACAGCTAGTTGCTGTTGATTTAGACAAGCTTCCAAAGAAGATTCCTGAAAATGTTCTTTACAAAGAAATGAAAGCATTTCAGGAGGAAGAATGGAACTATATTTTTCTAAAAAATCATAGAAAATTCCATGACCAAGAGAACAAAATTGTGGGACATTGAATTGAGCCAGCAACCACATCTCACAGTCATAAAGCTTTTTTATGACCGACAGCTTCTTTTCTGTAGACAAATCTCCTTGTTTTAATGTTATCTGATAATTCTCAAAATAATTGGAAATCTTCTGGATGATTTCATCATGAGTAACACCTGCATAACCACAAGCCCAACAGAATAGTAAGGAATAAGGACAGCCAAAGTAGGTACAAAAAATTGAAATTCAGAAAAAAAAAAAAAAAAAGAAGACCGAGCTCTAAGAGAGCCAAAGAAGATCCAAGTTCAAAACGTAGCTCTCTCATAATCAAAATATATTTGAGTTCACCATGTAAATTATAATTCACCATTCATTTTTTTAATGTGTACAACAAAGTGCTCAATTTATTTTGAAAATTCATTCCTCCACTAACTTCTTGTAATGTTATAATACTTCTGCTCCATTTCCTTCGTAATCCATCCATATCAATCCCATCAACTCATAATATTCATGCAGGTTTCTACCATCCATTAAACATGCCGAGCAGTTAAATCTCTCTTCTAATATGTTATATTTCAAAAGTATTCCCACAATTTCTCTAATATAACCACTTTTTGATACATCCTTTATAATTATAGCAAGCATCCATCTTAATTATAGCATTTCTATAGCCCTCAACTTGCCCATCAATGAGCCAATGAGCTCGAGCTCCGGTGGTACTCGTTTAAAATGTAAAGGTCAGAAATTTGAGCTCTTACTAAGTTAGAAATTTTTGTGGTATAAGGCGTTCTGTCCAATTATTAGAACAATGAAAAAAGTGTCTTGGTGAGAGAACATTAGTGTACAGTAGAGATAACTCCCTAGTTCCCACACTCGGAAGAAAAATAACAGCCTCATCTATCATTGCTTGGTCACAGCCCAGTCATCTTGCAAATAAAATGAAGAAAACATTGAATACAAAAAAAAATGAAAAAAATGGACATGAAAAGTGGTGAAAATAATGATGAAATGTATTAAAAAAAACGCAAAGTATTGAAAGTAACTCCAATGTGACGTGGGTCGTCCAAATCCATGCCCATTAGCCGGGCGTTACATTGATCCGGTCCAACTATTGAACCGGACCTGTCCACGGCATTAAAATGCTGATTCATTTGAATCGCTCGCCATACTCTCCAAATCGCATCGCACACTCCCACCCCCAGCCGGTGCCCTGATCTTATGCCTCCTCCTAGACATTGTTGTGCACCTCCCTCCTCTTAGCCGTTGCATTCCTTTCACTTTTCACCTCTTTCCTTCTCAAGTTCTTTTTGTGGTCTTCCCTTCCTCCCCTATTTAGGCTTTTGTTATTTTCATAGGTCAAGACAGTTTTTTGCTTGCTGATTTTTCCTGTTCCAGGTGATCCTCCTGGCGGTTTTCCCTCATTTGAGGTTTTATCCTTCGGCGTAACGGTGCTTTAGCTGTATCTCGCCAAGGTGGCGTGTATCCCCGCTCCGTTTGTCATCTCCAATGCCTTCTAGTCACCGCCCGTCGCTCCGGACCCGTCCTGTCAGCCTGCTGCCACCCCTTCCAGTTCCCTTCCAGCAGCAACCTGCCTCCTCTGACCACCTTCCAACAGCCTGTCGGCCCTCCTAGCAGCCACCAGGTCCCCCACACCCTTCCTAGCTGCTGCCAGCACTATTGCCTACTCCGGCTCCCTCCAGCAGCCACTGACCATCCCTAGCAGCGACACGTCACCTATCTGGATCCTCCCAGTAGCCACCAGCACTACCGCTCCAGCATTATCCTTACTGAAACCGTCCCGCTTCATTAGAGATGGTCGTTCCTATCATTGTGTTATCTCTTTTATTATTCCTATCTTATTAATTTATCATTTCATGTTTTACATAGTTGTGTTGTTCCGTCAAAGAGTCGTCATTGCACTTCCTTGATTGCAAGAATAAAAAATGTGTAATTCGAGTAGTAGTTTGGGTTAACTCCGGTATCAATTGATATCAAAGCTAGCTCAACCCTAGTCTACACTAAGGATCTCAAGCATCGCCCCCCACCCAATCCACCATTCTCTATTCTTTCTCTTCTTCTCCTATTCCTTTCGTTCCTTCTCTTCTTGTCTTCTCCTCATTCCTTCTCTCATCTCATTCCCGAAAGGCTTCCAATCATGTCGCCACATCCATATGCATCGGAACCAACCTGAGAAGAAATATAACGTGAGATTCGTCGCTTACAATAATGATTGACTGAGATGGACGACGAGACTCAAGGCGACGTTACTCTCGAGGGTTGAAGAGGAGATCGAGATGATAACCTAAACCAGTTTCACCGTGATGACATCAGTAATGAAGAATATCGCCCAAGTCTTTTTGGCATTCACTATCACAGGAGACCACATCAGGAGCAGACGTTCGACACCCGTTGAGATTTTGGCATCAAAACTAACCTACCAGAATTCGACGGAAGCATGGACCCCGAGGACTTCATCAACTGGGTGCAAACGATCGAATTCATCTTTGACTACGAGGAGGTACCCGAGGACAAAAGGGTTAAGCTTGTCGCTGTCAAACTAAAGAAAAGCGTGTCGTTATAGTGGGACAACTTGCAACGACAACGACAACATGACGAGATGACAAGATCATTAAATGGGCAAAAATGAAGAAGGCTATGCAAAAAAATACATGCCGCCTCATTATTGCCAGAACATAGTCCTCTGGCTCCACGACCTACAGCAGTGTGACCTCTCAGTCGAGAAATTCATGACACGATTCAATCATCAAAAGATGAAGTGCGACCTAGTCGAACAAAAGGAGCACACAATCGCCCGCTATCTCAGAGATTTAAAACCTGTCATCAGTAACATTGTCCAACTCCAACTGTTTTGGGAGCTAAACGATGTCTAGACCATCGCATTGAAAGTGAAACGACAACACAAACAAGCCAAATCCCAAAACTCCTTATGCCAGCAGTCGACATACAAACCATCACCTCAAATCACAACAACCAATAAGACCATGTCGAAACCTGGCAAGTCACTACCAGGAAGTACCAAAGCCACCGAGAGCGTCACGAAAGCTAAAAGAGGAAATTCCTCCAGAACAATTCCTGCATGAAAATGTTTTAGGTGGCACGGGTATGGCCACATCACTGCTAATTGTCCCACCACCTGCGCTGCCTCACTTGCGGAAGAAGGCATCGTTGAGGAAGTCGAGCAAGTCGAGGAAGCCCGATCTGAGGATGGTTTGGATGAAACACTGCCCCTCTCCAGAAATGAAGGCAAACTATTAGTCATATGAAGGGTCCTCCAATCTGAACCCGAAAGAGAGCCTTCTTGACTACAACACAACATCTTTCGTACTACATGCATAGTCGAAGGCAAAATCTGCAGTTTAATCATTGATCACGGTAGTTGTGAAAACGTCGCCTTCACCCTAATGGTCAAGAAGTTAGATTTAGCCACACAAAAACATCCAAAACTTGCTCTCACTCCTGGATAAAAAAGGAGAATGAGATTCGTGTCGATCTACAATGCTTGGCAGAAATCTCCATCGGCAATCAGCTACAAGAGAAATTTTGGTGTGATGTCGTCCCTATGGACGCATGTCACATTCTTATTGGGAGACCATGGCAATTCGACCGAAAAGCATAGCATGACGACTTCAAGAACACCAATACATTCAAGAATGATGGAAAACACATCATGTTATTGCCTGTAAAATATGTGAGGGCTACGATTGACACCAAAATGCATTGATCTCACCGACCACCTTCCTGCAATCAGTTCACGATGCATCGATGGTACTAGATCTGGTCCTCCTAGAAGGTACCGACAAAGATAATGAGATACACACACAACTTTAATCACTCATACATGATTTTCAAGAGTCATGACCGACGATCTCCCAAACAAGTTACCTCCACTACGGGACATCCAACATGTCATCGACCTCATATCAGGGTCGATACTATCAAATAGACATGCCTATCGATTGCGACCCATAGAGTATGACGAACTCCAACAACAGGTGCAGGATCTTGTTAAGAGAGGATTGGTACATGAAAGCACTAGTTCACCTGTCGTCCCCGTCCTCATAGTACCCAAGAAAGATGACCCCTGACGAAAGTGCATGGACAATTGTACCAAAAACAAAATTACAATCAAATATTGCTTCCCCATATAGCGACTCGACAATCTTTTAGATCAGTTGTATGACGCCGTCTTCTCAAAAATTGACCTACGAAGTGGTTATCATCAGCTAAGAATGCAACCGGGAGACGAGTGGAAGTCTACCTTGAAGACACAAGATGACCTTTATGAATGGACAGACATGCATTTCGGACTGTCCAACGCTCCTAGCACCTTCATGGCCTAATGAATCAAGTCTTTCGAGCTCACAAAATTTGTGGTAGTCTACTTTGATGATATTTTGCTTTATAGTAAATCGGAAGAAGACCATCTAAAACACCTAAAGGCGATATTTGTGATCTTACGATCCGAACAACTGTATGTCAATCCCAAAAAGTGTCAATTCCTCACAAACTAAATCTGTTTTTTGGGCTACATTGTGTCTAGCACGGAGATACAAATGGACCCAACAAAAATCGAGGTAATCATAAGCTAGACCGCGCCACAATTTTTGGCCGAGCTACGACAATTTTTGGGGCTAGCCACCTTCTACTGAAGATTTGTTCGCCACTTTAGCACTATCATTGTCCCCCTCACAAAGTTGTTGAAACGAAAAGAATTTGTATGAGTGGTCACAGCCCAGACTAGCTTCGATATCTTGAAGGAAAATGTCACTTAAGCTTCAATTCTTGCCTTACATAATTTCAACCAACCATTCGAGGTCGAGTGTGACGCTTCCGGCATATGCATCGACGTTGTACTAAGTAAAGATGTGTCACCCTATTGCTTATTTCAGTAGCAAAATAAACGAGAATCGATGTAAATATTCTCTAAGCGACAAAGAATTTTATATCATTGTTAGAGCTCTAGAACACTGAAGTCACTACATACTCACAGACTAGTTTACGCTCTTCGCGGATCATGAAGCTCTAAAATTTCTAAACATTCAAAATAAACTAAAAGGGCTCAAGGTGGTCACCCTATTGCTTATTTCAGTAACAAAATAAAGAAGAATCAACATCAATATTCCACAAACGACAAAAAATTTTATGTCATTGTTAG